AGGGAAGCGCAGACCCGCCATGGACAACTGGGATTAACGCACAGGAACTCCATATAGCTTGGAGTTGAACGTGGAGTCCTGAAATTCAATTTTCGGTTGATGGCATGGATGACCATCTTAATCTTGCACTCCACTTTGTTACGAAAAATCCTGTCTACAAAATTTCGTCCCCCTCGTACTGCATATCCCTCAATGCACTATCAATTCCTGCATTTGGAAAATTCCATCGGATTATTATATATTCACACAAGTAGTTAACTGCCTAATAACTACTCACATGTAAATAACTACTCACCGTCATCAGAAATTTCATCTACGATTGGGGGAGCATCCCTCCCAAACATGGCAGGTAACTCTTCGGTCTCATTGAAGACCCCATTGATGGTTTCATCTGCGCAGCTGTACCGGGCGGAATGATTGCTACATTCCCCTTTCTGTGGGTCTTGATATTTTGCTTCGTTTTCTGGCACTTTGTCCTTTTCTTTCGCACGTCGTTTTGCCACCTCATCTTGTTCTTTCACCGACTCATCATCATCCTTGGCAGACTCATTGAACTCCTCGTTCCTCCCCTCAACTGAGTCATCATCACTCACCAAAAAATTCTCCTCACCATCAGACGAATTACAGCCAAGTCATCCAGATTGTCACAGCTTTCATCTTTTTCACCAGATTCTCCTGTAAGCAACATGACTTAAAATGCCAGCTACTAAAGATAACTACCCCACATCGTACACGTCTACTTATAGTTGTCTGAAGATAACTATTTACTATTAATACATAACAGATGTTGGTTTAAACTTTATACCCAATTTACTATTAATAGTTGACTAAAGATAACTGTTTACTATTAATACATATCTCATGGTTCAATCTCTTTACCCCACATTGTAAACGTCTACTTATAGATGTATATTGTGTTAGCATTCATATGACACTAAATAGTAGTTATCTACTTTATAAAGTAGGTTAATACGTAACTGCCATATTTAGTGTAATAGTCATCTACGTGATAGTCAGCTAGTTATAAGATCTTACCCTCGTTGTCTGCTTGGTTTTCGGCTGTTTTTTCGTAGACAACCATAGCCGTCTCCCTTGTGGCAGACTCCCTCACACCCTTACTCATCTGGTCATCATCCGCGGTGATGCAGCGATTCAGCTGGTCAATCTCGGACCTCATTTCAACAAAAAGCGCGACATCGTCATCCGTTCGGATGGACACTAGTGGTGCGTCCCTGCCGTTGTCCATAAGCATGTAGGAGGGTCACTGGTAAGTCAGAGCTACGGCGGCGTCTTCGTTTTTCCCATCTTCTCTTTGGTCAGTTTCACCACTTTCTTGAATTTTGTCTTTGAGCTGAGAAAAACTGCTTGGCTATTCCTTGTGCGCTCCGTCAGAAAATTCCACACTCCATTTCCGCCTTCGAACCATTTCCCCCTCACAAGCAAAACCATTTGTCTGCCCAACATCTATATTCACCAGAAAGAAATCAAACACTAAATAACTAACTATTAACTCAAAATAGTCACTATATTCATCGAGGAGTAGTCATATTCATCGATGAGTAGTCATACCTTCGTAAATCTTCGTTGTAGACAAACCTTAACAATGTTGTTTATTAGCGGTGGTTTAGAATGTTATGAGGTTGTATCTATTTATGTGATTATCTATAGACCTTACGATATTAACCTATCCGTACAAGTCTATTTACGTGATCCACTACAGACCCTACGATATTCACTAGACGACAGTGTTTCAAGTTCGGAGAAAGTAGTCCATAAAATTTACGTTGTTAGTGTTTCAGAAACATGGTAGCCTATGCGTTTGTGTAAAATGGTGTGATCTCATCAAAGGTCAGAAAAAGCGATGTTTTCTTTTCGGGAGCAAGGAGTAGCTCGTAATTTCTACCTCCTTTTTTTCGTTAACTACTACTATACACATAATTAACCGTTTTTCGGCGGTAGTCTCTTAATAAAGTTTTCCAAACATAATATTGATGCAAATCATCCTTATTTATTAAGCATGAATCTCTTTGAGAATTCAAAGAAAAATCAAACATTGGCATATGATGAAAAAAGAGATATCCAGTTACAATAAATTTTTTCATCAAAAAAAACTTTCTAATTTTTCATCATCATCATTCATTTTCAACAGCAGCTTCTCCTTCGGTTGCATAATCATACCTATAGACAAAGGAAAGCAAAGCATATCTTGTCAATGCATCAAAGAAAACATCATAAAAAGACCAATTTTATTATGGCCTCGACAGTTTGCTTGCAACTACGTTTCCGTTTGTATTTATAATTATTCATATATATTTCAAGTTATGTAAAGTATGAATATGACAATACTGAAGGTCGTCATAATTGATCTCACTTTATTTTACGAGTAAGTTGGTATAACCCGGTAGCTGCCATAGCAACATTAACACTAAACAAGTTCCAGTTTTTCTGTAAAACAAATATCAAAATCAACAAAAAACTCAGATAATTAAACCAAGAATCCAATTATAAAGATCATTAAAAAAAGCAAGAATGGTAATAATCCCATTAAGAAGACGACGTAAGCAAAAACTTACAGGAGTGATTACAGTGCTGCAACGACACCAGATCATTCCAGTACATGTCACAGCTGGTACAAAGAATTCAATGAAATTAGAAAAAACTTGTATTATGCACTCGATATATATATATATATATATATATATGCAAGAAACAAACCACAAAGAAGATTTAGTGATATAATTTCAATTTGTGTGTATATATACCAATCTGTTGAAGGTATGAAATGTTCTCTGGAGGTTTCTGGAAATCTGCAATGTTAGCTATGCTTATACCCCACTTGAAAGTTGGAGCCCAGAAATGAACTGGTAAAAAAAAACGTGAAACTTTGATCAAGCGCTTAATACTACAATTAGAATCAATTGAAATATTAATTATAGAGTATGAACATAATAATCAGGAATTATCAGACATTAGAGCCAATTATTGTTAAGATCATAAAAGTTCCTACAGAGCCTTAAAGATTCATGAATCGTTGGAGCTTAGATTACAACGAGTGTTCATTTCTTAAAAACTGTTTAAGAAAACACTCGAGAAATTTTGAAATGTAACGGGTTTGATTCGAAGCGAGACGTATGAATTTCCATAAGTTACTTTGTAGCGAATTCAACAAAAATAAATTTAAACGAAAATGGAACAGAAACTGAGTTGACTCACTAGTCTTGGGTCCCGCCGGGTGGTTCCAGAGCGCTTGAAGCTTTGACGTCGCCATCGAAAATTTTTTTAAATTTTTTTCTTCGGAGATTCTCTTTTCTGTCTTCTTCAGTCTCCGACATAAGTATTAACGAAAAGATGCTACTGAAAACGACGTCGCATTGCGCTAAATCTTGAAATCCTCATTATTTTTAAAGGAAGCATTTTAATGCATGTACTAATATATATTATTTTTGGTTTCCAAAAGGAAAAAATGCAGAAAACAAATCTTCTAACTATATGCTTCTAAGACAGCTTTAACTTGTTTTATCATCCATTTTTTTTTTTTCAATTTTGTTGATGTAATCGTTTTAGTTCCATTACTAGTAACAATTAGAGTTTTTTCTTGACCGAAATCAAAAATTTAGCTCTTTCTTTGCGTCATATCTCAAGGTTTAGAGTTCTAAAGGCTGTAATATTGGAATTGAATAACATGAATGCTGTTTAAAATGAGGGTGTTTCTGAGATCTCCTTTCGTATCAGGTTGCTTAAATGGCAAAGGGAATGTTGATAATGTAATCGCATAGTAAGATGGTTGGTTGAACAAGCCTATTTTTTGCTGCCCGTTTTCCGCGATGCAACAAAGTTATTGTCCTTGAGAGAAGAACCAAAGTGGTTCTTGAGGCTTTCTTAATTTCTTACAGCTAATGGACATCATCGTATAGTGGAACATTAATTAATACATATAATTTGCTGTGGATTTTAACTTCAGGCTGACTGCAGTAATGCATATATGGGCCCATAATATTCATGGTTTTTAGTTTTCTACAAAGAAAATGATAACTGACTTGGAGATGTATTAACTAGTGAAAAGTTCATGGTTTCTAAAAACAAATTTGAAAATAAAAAATTCATCATCTAATGATTTTTTTTTTTTTTTTTCCTTCTTTTTAAACGTGTTCTTCTAGATTATGTTATGCAAATTGAAGTTATATATGGCAAGCCCTTTCAAACATATCTCAGAAACTCTAGAATGTTTGTACCAAACTGGCTAATCTAGAATGGTAGCAGCGGTCCTTTTAGCCGGTTTGGATTTGTTGTCATTTGCTTTGTAGAGTAAACGATATTTAAAATGTTGCTTAACAAAAAAAAAAATGATACCTAAATTGTAGAATTAAACCAAATCTAACTAGGAACACCAAAATTGAACTCCAACTAGTATAATGTTTCTATTGTTCTTAAACAAAATCGAACTTGCTTAGACCAAAACTTTGCTTCTTAAAGCTGTAGTGGTACACAACAATGATCAAAGGAAATAGATAATGGAACGTTGACTCTAAATTACATGTTAGTAACAAATAAATGTTTTACTTATGATGATTATTAAGGTCTCCCACTTAAATAGAGAGCGTTAAGAACAATTAAGTTTGGTCTGAATGGGATGGAGGGGTGTATTGGGCCTCTTGTTAGTGGACCTTTAGCTTATCATGTAGATATGATATCTTCTATGAAACTAAAACGTGTGTTGCACTCTGACAAAATTAAGGTCAAGTTCACAAACCTCTTTGATTTGTTTTCCCTCTTTACGTTCTCCATATTATGTATGCATCTTTGCGTCTCTGTATGTATTTCGTTTTCATTAGTCTGATGAGTGATGATTGTAACTACAATACTTTTGTTGTTGTTGTTGTTTTAACGATCTCTACTAAGGATGGAGCATTACTATTTGAAAACTTTGTAGTTAGGTTTTGAGAAATTGCCCTTTCTAAGGAAATTGAATATGAAACTGAATTAGGGGGGTTTTTTGTGCCAAAGGGAACTCTATTGAAATTGCAGCGGAAGTGTTACAAGATGATGAAAATGAAGACATAAACACAACAATAAAACTACTTATGAACACAATAAAACTACTTATGAACACAATAAAACTATTATGTCTTGGCTTGACCCGTCTGCATGCTACTATGTCCTTAAACGCCTCACCGGAGGTACTGCCAATCGTTCTTGAGAGCTGCCCGAATCTGAAAAACTTGAGCTTGGTAATGACTTGCTTATATAAACTTTGCAAAGTTCTTACCTAAGAAAGGTTTTTTTGTTGACCTGCTCATTAGATATTTCTGGTTTGGATTTGTGTTTTGCAGAGATTAGTTAAGGATTTCTGATTCAGTGGCAGTGGTAACTAAGCTTTCGAATGTGATGTCTTTTTTTTTTTGGTATCGTCCCTTGAATATGTTGAAATGGAAATCGCGATGACCACGAAGAAAGCAACAAGAACACGATCACTCAAGAAGCTCGTTCTACGTTTGATTGTGTCATCCGAAAACAAACAAGAACACGATCCTGGTTTCTTGAAACAACTCTTTGACTCTGAGAGACGCTCTCGTTTGTGTCGACTTGAAGTTATTCCAAAGGTTTAGGCTCCGTGTTGGTGGCGTTGAGACCGGAAGACCTGGTTCGATCTTGTTACCTACTTATTTGGGGTTGATCACGAAGAAGGCAACAGAACTGAAAGTATAGTTAGAAACTTTCTGGAGAGCTCAACAACACTGAAGAAGCTTGTTCTACCTTAGCATCTGTCTCTTGGAGAGAACAAAGCGAGTCTAGCCTGTTTTGAGGCTCAAAGACGCTCTAGTTTGTGTCAATTTGTCCTGCGTTAACTAGATGCAATTTACAGGGATGCACCGTGGATTATTATGAAATATGGATCACATAATGTAAAATTGAAACATTATGGTTAAAGAAATACAGACAAACACAATATTCATTTCGTTACATTTGTCACTGCAACTAACCTTATGGCTCTTTATACATGTAATATAAATACACAATTTTACAAATTCCAAACGGTGTTTGATTAGAAAAAATGAATTTTTGGGTATTCAAAAGATTTGGGTATTCAAAAAGATTCAAACCTTGGCATGATAATAATATCTGGGAATGGCTCTGGAAGAAGAACACAAGGAAGATTACGTCCAGTTACGAGCATCATGAGAATTATATTCACCAAAAGGCTTCATCTTCATCATTCTTTTGCAACAACTGGTTCTGCTTCAGATACATAATCGTGCCTGTAAACCAAAAAAAAGAGAGTAAAGCTTATCAATGTCTAAGAGAGAGATAAACAACATTCAAGAACGATGCTTGCTTATTCGAAAACGAGGGTTGGTGTCTATGCTCACAATGAAGTTTGAAACCATGATGATATAACCACACTAAGCAAAGCACTTTGAAGAAATATCTTATATTAATGTAAAGAAGAAATCAAATGTTCTCAAGATCTTACTCCAATTTACGAGTAAGTTGGTATATGCCTGTCGCTGCCATAGCAAGACTAACGCTAAAGAGGTTCCAGTTTTTCTGTATACAAATGGTCGGAACAAAATCAGATAAACAGGTATAATCCACTCGCTAATTTTGTACAAGAGCAAAGCAAAAGAAGTATACAAATTGCATCAACATGACTTTCAGTAGTATCTCTCGTTTTATAAAGAGAAGACTTATCAATCCCAAATTGGAAGAAGTACTTAAGCCAACATACCGGAGTGACTACAGTGCTGTAACGTGACCAGATGAGTCCAGTGGCTGTGATCACTGATACAATAGATAGCGTAGAAAACTGTAAGAAGATCTAGACATGGCGACAATATGAAAGAGAGACATAAACATCGAAGAAAGCCATAAGAAGATAGAGACATTAGCTACACAGATGAAAGCTATTTGGGGAATCATATCAAACAAAGAAGAAAACTTTAAGAAGATTGAGGCATAAACAACACAACACAAATCAAAGCAAAGTATATTAAGAATCATACCCATTTGTTGAGGGTATGAAAGTGTCTCTGGAGGTTTCTGAAAGTCTGCAATGTTAGCAATGCTTATACCCCACTTGAACGTTGGCGCCCAGAAATGGACTGAAAATAACAAAACGAGTTTAAAGTTTCAAGGTTCTGTAAGAACTTCGATCAAAGCTAAACAAATATACACTTTCTTGATTACAACTAAAATCAAAACATTATCTTTTCGAATAGAAAGGTGGTTTGCTTTGTCTATGAAGAAAAAAACCTAAATCAAAACTCAGGGTGTTTATCAAATATCATTAAAAAAAAAAGCTTTGAGGAAATATTATACTATCAATCAAAATTCCTACATAGTCAAAGTTAGATTCAAAAGTTTGAAATGATGCAGGGAGACTTCAATTCGGAAACTAGTTAAAAGGCAACAATCAACGGAAACTAAGCAGGAACTGTTACGGAATCTCAAGAGAATCGAAGCGATTTGAGCAAGAAAATATGAGATTCTACTAATATAGATGGCTCGATGATCCAAAATTCGAAGATCAAAGTGTTGCATAGCGCAAAAACAAAAGTGAAGAAACAATCATTGTTTCACAGAAAGTAAAGTAATTCGGGATTGACTCACTTGTCTTAGGACCTGCTGGATGATTCCAGAGAGCTTGGAGCTTCGACGCTGCCATCGATTTTCTCTGAAAGCTCCTCAGAATTCTCTGAAGAAATCGTCGCTATACATTGCTACTAGTCAAACAATTTTTTTATCTTTAATTATTATTCTTGGTTTACCAGTGAAACTAAAAAACTCTTAACTCTTAAGTGATACTTTTTTGTTTTCACAAGTTTACCCTCAACTTTTTCAAATGCAGATTAAACCCATAAAAATGATATTAAACAGTAATAATTCATATTATTGTCTTAAATTTTATTAAATTATGGTAAGTTATATATCAAATCAACACTCTCGTAATAAAGAATCTAAATATTCTCTTAGAATTTAAAATTTTACTGTATTATGTGATGACTTTTCAAAAACAATACGATTTGGAAGATTTTTTCGAATTATGAATTAATTTTTAAAAATATAAGTTTGGGAATTTTTTTTCCAGTAAACCCATCCTTAATATCTTATCATTAACTCATTTTTTTATTAAAAAATAGATGATTGTCAAATTTCAAAGATATAATTAAAGTGATTTTGTTTCCTAAACGATAAATAGTAGTACAAATAGCATTGTGTTCTAACTTCTAAAAAAAAATTCAAAAAAAAGATAAATCTGTTCGATAAGCTTCGGTATCTTAAGGCCCAAGATATCATTAATAAGTCGGTTAATGACAAGAAGTTTGATTAGGAATAGAAAAAGGAAATTATATCCCTATTAATAGTTTTGTTGAGTTGTTACAAACTTTTGTGAAACCCATTAGCATGTCTATTAGTAAGACTGCTTTAAAGGTTGTTAAAATTAAAATAATAATACTTTTAGCATTTGTGAACAGTGACGGGTTGATAAAATAATAATTTAATTATTATCTCCAAATATTTAACCAATTTCCTGCTGACACGTTGTTTAAGAAATAGATTGATAAGTATGCTATTTAGCATATGAGTTCATCGAATAAAGCCTTTTTTTTTTTTTTAAATCAGTTTCTCCTAGGATTTTGGGCCAAAAGTTGGTTAACAAAACTCTAATGGACATGGTCTTAGAAGCTTGTGTAATGTTTAGTTTTGAGAGATTTTCTAAACATCAATAAAGAGAGATATTCTTTATAAAACTGAACTTGTATTTAAAAGCTTTTATATGGTATCAAAGTCCATATGAAGGAAAAATGGACCTGGAGAAGTGGGTTAGGCTGAATGTTTTTTGTGGAAGGAAAAACTCTCAAGGTGACCTTGTGATTGATAAGTACAAGATGGGTACTAGGTATTGCTGTAGGTTGGAGACCAAGAATTATGTGGTCTTTGGTTTGAGGGAGAGATTGTTAGGAATCAATCCAAAATCCTACATCAGAGATTTAATTAGACCAATATGGTGTAATATATAAGTAATGTCGAATTCTAATTAGTATGAGGCTTTTTGAGAAGGAGCTCAAAATCAAATCTGTGCAGTCTTTGCCAGTTGGACCTAAAGCGAATAATATTATACTAATTGGGAGAGTTGGATATGAGCTTAGGAAAAATTCAATAAAATCTATTTAAATTTATATGAATTAATTAATTAAATAATGATTGAAAACGATATATATATAGGTACAAGGTTTATTGATGCTATAATTTGGAGAGGAAGCGTCTAAATAATTTGATGAACAAACTTAATAAGGTTTTTAAGGGAGTACTGACCCTACTTACCATTCAAATTTCATTTTTAAAAAGGGTCCTATATATAACTTTTAAAGAAAAAAAATTGTGTGTGGGGGAGAGATAATCTGCAATTTATGTGAGACGTTGGATCTGTCGACCCATGATAAATAATGGAGAAGGTATATAGAAATCATGATGAATGAATGTGAAATGTGAGGGGATCGAAGATTTGAAATTGAATTTGCATACTCTTCTTTGGTTACCCACAACTTTTCTTTAATGAGGCCACACCATTTGGTGTTTGTAACATCGTGACACCAGCACAAAATGTTATAAATGAACACATGCAGAGATAACTCGTTTTCGTACAATAAAAAAAAAATATTTGAAGTTGACATGTTGTTGAATTTATAAAACAACAACTCAATATATTTTTTAAAAAATGTTATTATTACATATGATATATCAACAACTTTACAAAAGGGTTGAGGTTACTTTAAATGTTTCACTTTTGCAAGACTAAACCTGTATATAATTCTAGTATTATATTTCCGTTTAAGAGATTTGTTACCTAGTCCATTTAAAATCTTATTTAGTTTGTTGATGATAATGAGTCTCATTCTTTACTTGATGTCCAATAGTCTTGTTGTAGGCGTACTAGTTGGTATGTGGATGCTGAATTACGCTATGAGTCTATGACAAATCATTTTCAAAATAGATACACAAGTGCTAATAACAACATTAATCGAAATGTCACGTTTGGGACCATTCTTTAGGATATTGATTTTTTGACGAGAGCCAAATTAATCAAAAGAAACATCGAAATTATTGTAAAAAATTAGGTTAGAGGAAAAGAAAACGTTTTTCCAATTTTTCAATTAAACTGCCTATGCACTATTGTTGTAGTATACTAGTGTTATTGCTGAAAAATTACTGCAATATAGTAAAATCAATATGAAAAATCCTCAAGTTTTTATATTTACCTCAAATTTTTATATTTATCAGAATGAAAAGAGTTGAAATCATACAATTCATACTTTTTTTTCATGGAAAACCCTCAAGGTTTTATATTTACTTTCATTATCGCATCTGAAACCATATATTTCTATCTGATGGAGAGTTTTTCTAGGTCTGATCCACCTTGTTTGCCTTAAATATGGGTTTCACACTAAATTTTTTGACTATCTCTTATCACAATTGGCTGGTATTTAGTGACGCATAAGACTAAGCTGTTGTAGTGAATGAGTTGAGATGCTTCAAAATTAATCACAAAAAACATTAAATTAATCACAAAAAACATCAAAATTATTATTTTAATTTGCAAAAAATGAGGTTATAGTGGGAAAAAAAGTTTTTCTATTTTTTATTAAAATGCCTATGCACCATTGTTGTAGTATACTAGAATTATTGCTGAAAAATTACTGCAATATAGTAAAATCAATATGAAAAACCCTCAAATTTTTATCTATATATTTTTGAATTACCAAGAAGTTTTGGGCCGAAACATGTAATCTTCCAGACCCAACAGTTTTTATATGTATCTCAAACTTTTATATTTATTAGTATGAAAAGAGTAGAAATACAATTTGTACTCTTTCCAATGGAAATTACTGCAATATAGTAAAAATTATATGAAGCCTTACAGATTTTAGTAAATTTGAAAATTTCATGATAACTTAGAATTTCAGAAAAAAAAAATGATGAGATACGGTTATAAAGTGTCAATACAAAACAAAAAGGGAGTAATTTGGAATAATCTTAAAATTTGGGGGCATAAAAGTAAAAGAATCCACTAACGAGAATGTGGGGCTTGTGTGGCACATGAACCAATCAAAGCATTTAGAAACCTCTTCGTCGAAGTTTTGTTTTATTATTAGGAAAAAAAAAATCATGATCAAGTATTTAAAATTCAGGGGTAAAAAGGTCATTGCATATCCATCGTTCTCCTCTCTTCTCTTCCCATCTTCACTGCCACTCAACACTTGCACTTGCACATTCTCTCTCTCTCTCTTCCAAGTAACACCCAGAGGAGAGAGAAAGATACAAAACCTCTCTTCAATTCTTACTCTCTCTCTTGATAATTTAGAAATGGCGGGACGATTACAATCCCATCAGCTTCCAAGCGGACTCTACGTATCGGGTAAACTCGAGCAAACCAAGGAACAACGACCACCGACAATGGCGGCTCGTGCTATGCCTTACACCGGAGGCGATATAAAAAAATCCGGCGAGCTCGGTAGGATGTTCGACATATCCGTCGATGATCCCACCACTTTCCAAGGACCTCCGTCGATTTTCGTCGGCGGACTAGCCAGACCACCACCGCCACGTGTCTCCTCCGCTTCGTCTTCGAATCCCAACAGTGGATCCGTTCGATCCGGACCCCAATCGGGTCCAATTAGAAAATCCTCAGGTCCTCTCTCTCAGCTTCAACCAACCGGTTTAATCACCTCCGGTCCGCTTAATTCGTCGGGTCCAATCACGTCCGGATCAAGGAGGTCAGGTCCGCTTGATCATCACTACCAAACGAGTAATCTAAAGTCGAGCAAACCCAAATACGGATCCGCGGTGACGATTCTGAACACGGATCCGGTTCGGGTCGGGTTTAAAGTATCGAAAGCTCTGATTTGGGCAGTGATTGTTGTTGCAGCGATTGCGTTACTAATTGGGGCGTTTTTATCAGTTGCGGTGAAGAAGCCGTTGGTTATGGTGGTGATTGCGGCGGCGATTTTTCCGGCGGCCGTGGTTTTTGTTTGGAATTGTATTTGGAGAAGAAGAGGATTGTTGGGTTTTATCGAGAATTATCCAAATGCTGTGCTTAGAGGCGCCATTGATGGACAGTTCATCAAGGTCACAGGAGTAAGTTTTTTTTAAAAAAAGATTGCAACTTTTTTAGTCTTTCTAATTATAGTAAAAGACTTCAATTTTTGTGTTTCGTCTTAGGTTAGCTAATCGGTTATCTGATGATTGAAGCAAATGTAGTAATTTAGCTAATGAGTTGGAATGTCATACTCATTGCCTTTTTTGTGATCACTGGCTTAGTTAGTGAGAATTGGATAGTTAATGATTTTTGACAATTCTAATTAGTATTCTTGAAATGGTAATTACTTTCAAGTGTATATAATATGGTTAAAATCAGGTCTTTGAGTGATCAATGATGTGCTTCATAGGGGTTTTTAACGTTTCTGTTTGCAGGTGGTAACTTGTGGAAGTATTCCACTTGAGTCGTCATACCAAAAGATACCGAGATGTGTTTACGTATCCACTGAATTGTACGAGTACAAATGTTTCTGTGGAAAATCCGAGAACCCGAAACATGCCGAGGTTTAGATTCTTTTTTCTGCTCTCTATTCTCTGATTTCTCAAATGTGTAAAATTTGATGATGATTTGTTTGTGTGGCAGAGATACGTGACGGACTTTTACATATCGGATTTTCAATCGGGATTACGAGCACTTGTTAAAGCAGGATATGGATCAAAAGTTTCTCCGTTTGTAAAACCGGAAACAGTAGCTAATGTAACCTCACAGACTAAGGATTTATCTCCAAGCTTTTTACAATGGTTGGCGGATCGAAACCTTTCCAATGATAGTCGAGCCATGCGTCTCAAAGAAGGGTATGGTATTGTTATTATATACACATGCATCTTTGATTTTCCTATCTTCTACACATCTTCATACTTTTGATAGAGCTAAGTACAAAGTCTTCTAAAGAAACTCATTTTTTACTATTAGAGGTCAGTCTTAAAATCTTGGAAGTGTGATTCTCACCTAATCTAGAACTTGAAACTTTACCCAAATTATGACCTTTTTAAAACCCCGAACGAGTAAAGTGCATAAAAGTCAGTGAGAAACTAAAGTCACTGTTTTTAGTTCAAAGGAAGGATCTTTTGGTGCTTTTTAACCCTTCTGAAAATAGCTTTAGTTCAAAGGAAGAATCTTCCTGGTGCTTTAACCCTTATCACAACAGAAATATTATCAAAGTAAATAGCTTTATTACAAAAGAAGTTATCTTTTTTATCAGATTTTACCCTTCAAAGAACCAAAAGAAAAAAAAAGTGTTGGTCTCTTTCTCTCTCACTCCTCTTACATGCACACACAGATTCATGCATTTTGATGATGTTGTTACTGAATGTTGTGATTAGATATATAAAAGAAGGGAGCACGGTGAGCGTGATGGGAATGGTGAGGCTGCATGACAACGTACTGATGATCATTCCTCCTGCAGAACCAGTCGCTACTGGCTGCAAATGGTGGCGTTGTCTCCTCTCAACTTATGTGGAAGGCCTTATCATTACCTGTGACGAGAATCAGAATGTTGATGTCATTCCTGTCTGAAGACACCATACATAACATTACGTATATGCATGTATGTTTTGCTTTAACTATGATATTCTATATAACCTATATATATATATGTATAGTCAAGAGTTAGGCCCTAAGACCGAGGAGATGGGGAAAGGAAACCATTTACGGTCATCATATTAGTTTTTGCCTCTTATTATGATGGGGTTATGTTTTGTGTACATTATTAAAAGCTTCAAATGTACATTTGTATTTTTATATTCAAATAGTTTTGCTCCATTTACTATTACTCTCACTCGTTCAAGAGCAGATTTCTTGCAAGTCGAAAACAAACACATGAAAGTCTGGAAACATTGGTATGGTGTTGTTTTTTTATAGTCGCTCCTATCGGATGTTCAAATCAGAACTATTAGGTTATGGTGTCATTTTTTTCGACGACTTCACCGCTGGCACAAATCATTTGATAAGGAATGAACTGTAAAACCGAAACAGAGTAGAACAGAGGATAGATGTTCGTAAAACACCAACCTCGACCTCACTTGCAAAAGAATCCTTATAAGAAGAATGGACTCTTCAGCGATAATGAGCAGTAACGATTGAGTAGAATAGAATAGAAGAAGAGAAGTTTCTGAATTATTCGATATCCTAATCTCAAAGACTTACAAGGCTTTTATAATAACTTGAATGAAAAGAAATAGAAAACTGCTAAGGATAAGGAAATAACAATAAGGAAATATTGCTTAAAGATATTCTCTCGTGACGTGGCCTCTAATACGCGTTTTCTGTATCAAATCCCCCCTGTTCGAAGAACCTTGTCCTCAAGGTTGAAAATGAGGATACCGTCTGGTCAACTCATAGAGAACTTCCCATGTAGCTTCTTCTTCTGGCTGATGAGACCACTTGACCAACACCATTGTCGCAGCTCTTCCTTGTCGATTCACCATTTTTCGTTCCAGAACTCGCTCAGGTTCTTTCACCAACACGTCTTGGACCACTGAAGGTAAATCTGTTGAGATCACCACATTACCAATCCGCAACTTTAGCTGAGAGATGTGAAAAACGGGATGAATCTGAGAAGATGGTGGTAGCTCGAGTTTGTAAGCGACCATGCCGCAGCGATCAATGACTCTGTAAGGTCCAAAATAATTTGGAGACAGCTTCTGATTCGACCGGTGGACCACCGATTGCTGGAGATACGGTTGAAGCTTAACATAAACGTAGTCCCCCAATTCACGCTCCGTACGATGCTGATCAGCGAACTGCTTCATTCGATGCTGAGCCCTTAAGAGATGAAATTTTTAATATCAGAATCATGTTCTCACGTTCCTGCAAGTTTTTGGCAACCATAGCGATTTTGGCTTCACCCGGCAAATAAGGGAGATGTTGTGGTGGTGTCTGACTGTATACGGCTTCGTAAGGAGTCATTTGTATTGACGTGTGGAAGTTTATATTGTACCAAAACTCTGCTAATGGTAACCATTTGCTCCAAAGATGTGGCCTGTCGCTACACATACATCGCAGATAACCCTCTAAACATCGATTTACCATCTCTGTCTGGCCATCGCTTTGAGGATGATAAGCACTAGACATGTTGAGCGACACTCCTTGCAAGCTAAAAAACTCCTTCCAAAATTCGCTTAAGAAGACTGCATCACGATCACTCACAATCGACTAAGGAAATCCATGGAGCTTGAAAATATTATCCAAGAAAGCCTGCGCTACAGAAGCTGCTGTATACGGATGAGATAAAACAATAAAGTGTGCAGCTTTGCTCAAACGATCCACCACTACCAGGATGACAGATTTACCAAACGAAACCGGAAGACCCTCTATGAAATCCATTGAGATATCAGTCCAAATCGTCTCTGGTATAGGCAAAGGTTGGAGCAGCCCAGGCGACGCGGAGGTGTCATACTTACACTGCTGGCAAACGTCACAACTTCGCAGATAAGCTTGAATATCCTTCGACATTCCCTTCCAGTAAAAAAGTCCTTTCATCCGATGATGTGTTACATCACGACCTGAATGACCTCCACTACCAGAGCAATGTAACCATTCCAAAATCTTATCTTTGATAGTTGAAACCTATGGAACAATAATCTTACTTTTTCGCCGTAAAATGTTCTGTGACCAGGAGTAGTGTTTCTTTGCTCCAGCATCCTTTTTTAATTCTGCAATCAACTCTTTCACCTGCACATCGGCCTCATAACCCTCATGTATCTGTTTCATCAAGTCACACTCGAGCACAGACATAGCCATATGCAACACCTCAGCTCCCTCAATACGTGATAAGGCATCAGCCACCAGATTTTCTTTCCCCTGCTTATATTGTATTTCATAATTAAACTCAAGCAACTTGGGAAGCCACTGCTGTTGTATAGGTGTATTCAGGCGCTGTTCAAGCAAATATTTTAAGCTCCTTTGATCCGTTTTAATCACAAAGTGACCAGTAAGCAAGTAATGCCGCCACTTCTGCACAGCAAATACCACAGCTAAGAGTTCTTTTTCATAAATGGAAAGATTCACCTGCTTGCCCTTGAGATGACGACTGATATAAGCAAGAGGGTGTCCTTCTTGCATTAAAACCGCGCTTATGCCCTGGCCCGAAGCATCGGTTTCGACAACAAAAGGTTTGTCAAATTTCGGTAATGCCAAGACAGGAGCTTCACACAAAGCCTTCTTCAATTCCTCAAACGCCTTATCTACCTCAGAAGACCATTCAAAAGCATCTTTCTTAGTCAGAACTGTTAAAGGTCGTGCAATAGTTCCAAAACCTTTCACAAATCTTCTATAGTAGCCTGCCAAACCCAGAAACCCCCGAAGTTGTTTAATGGTCTTCGGTAAAGGCCAATCCGCCACTGCCTTGATTTTGTTTGGATCTGTAGAGATGCCTTTCGCTTCAATATAGTGCCCCAAGTACTCGACCTTGTTTGTAGCGAAGGTGCATTTACTTCGTTTAGCAAACAAGCTGTTGTCTCTCATCAGCAAAAAAACTTGTTTCAGATGCTCCACATGCTGCTCAAGGGTCGGACTATACACCAATATATCATCAAATAATATAAGGACACACTTCCGCAACAGAGTTCGAAAGACAGAATTCATTAACCCTTGAAAAGTAGCAGGTGCGTTGGTGAGACCAAAAGGCATCACCAAGTACTCGTAGTGACCACTGTGAGTCTTAAAAGCGGTCTTATGAATGTCTTCTTTTGCCATCCTCACCTGATGATATCCAGCCCTTAGATCAATCTTCGAGTAAACACTAGATCCTCCCAGCTCGTCCATCAAGTCCTCAATTAGAGGGATAGGAAATCTATCCTTGACCGTCATGTTGTTCAGACCTCTATAATCCACGCAAAGCCTCCAAGTACCATCTTTCTTTTTCACTAAAACCACTGGAGATGCAAAAGGACTAGAGCTTCCTTGAATAGTACCCGCTTGTAACAGTTCTTGAACAATTTTATCGATCTCATTCTTCTGGTGCACGGCATATCGAAATGGTCGCTGGTTTACAGGATTAGATCCTTCCAACAATGGTATCCGGTGATCGTGATGTGGTCTAGAAGGAGGTAACACTGTCGGTTCCTCGAAGACATCACTGAACTTGGCAAGGACATCTTCAGTATCCGGCAAGACCTGTAAAGATGTGTCGATGGTCTCGATGGAGTACAACATAGCCTGATCTTCTTCACCTTGGTCTTGGACGTGGATCATGGCCATTTGCACCGTGTCGTCTTGTAGCTTATTCAATCTGTTTGCCTTGATTCACGCACTGATCCCTGTTTAATACCATGAAGAGTCACCTTCTTATGACCCCACCTGAACTGCATCTCTAACTTCAAGAAATGCCAAGTAATAGGTCCAAGAGTCGCTAACCATTGCGCACCCAAAACCATGTCACAATTTCCAATGGGAATAACCATAACATCATCACGAAAATCAGTACCCCCAAATCGCCATAAGAACTGTTCCACCTTGGAACTTACTGCTAGTCTGCCCCCATCCGCAACTACAACCCGACGAACACCAGTGGGAACCAATTTGCACCCTAAGCGTTGAGCCACTTGGGTATCAAGGAAATTATGAGTAGAACCCGAATCAATAAGGATAACTAGGTTCCGTTTGCCATGCTCGCCCCTCACTCGCATAGTCTGCGGGCTAGAAACACCAGCCAAAGCATTAACTGAAATCTGGGCTATCTCGCATATCTCCTCCTCTGCATCGACAGCCTCATCGGTCGTTTCCTCTGTATTATGTTCATCATCTTCTGCTTCTATCATGAACAACTGAGTCTTCTTGTGTTTGAGATGATGACCGGGAGTGTATTTCTCATCACAGAAATAACAAAGTCCATCAGCTCTGCGCTTAGCCATCTCTTCCGCAGTGAGAAACTGATTCTTTTGAAGCTGCGTGTCTTTGGGCCTATCTCGAGTGATTTGAGTGGCAGGTAGTTGCTCAGGTGTTCTCCTAAAGGGAATCAGTCCCTTGCTAGTCGCCGGAGGTCGTGTCGTATTCCATGAAGCATTGAAGGGCTTCTTAGGATGGGCTTTCTCGTATAGTCGTCCTAAAAACAAGCATTGTCGTACTGATTGGGGCTGAAACATACGGACATGCATCTGTGTATCAGTACGTAATCCTGCAAGGTAAGCACGCACCAAGTAATCTTCAGAGAGTTTCACACGATTGCGAATTTTTTCAAAACGGCTGTGATACTCTGCAATTCCCTCTGTCTCCTGCAGTTGTTTTAGTTCCGCTATTGGATCGTCTAAAAGCTCATCGAATCGCTCTTGCAGCACAGACTTGTAGCTCATCCTGTCTTGCAAAAATTTACACTCCAGCTCAGATTGCACCAACGATCGATGCCACTCTGCTGCGTCTCCGTCGAAGTGCATCGACGCAAGTTTAATCTTCAGATCATCAGGTGTGTGATCGATTAAGAAAAACTGTTCAACTTTGAACAACCACTCCTTGAATTTTTCTCCTGTAAAACGAGGAAAATCAAGTTTTGCTAATCGCGTAACCCCCGAATAGGGATTATAGGGACCCGACTTGAGTTTTACTTGGTCCAAGGGCGACGAAGAAGTCATCGGAGAATCTGATGACAATTGCTGTGCTTTGCCCTTTGAGACGTCAACTGAGGAAGAACCCGATGTCTGCTGAATCAAACGGATTGCTTCGAACATGTCTGCAATATCTTTATCCATCTTTGCGTTTTGGGTAGCTATGGTGCTCTCCAAAGCGACGAACTTTGAAGTAAACGAAC